TTCAACAGTAGGTCTCCCGTTTCGTCGACGGGAAAAGGATCCCCTTACTCGCTTTCACCGTATCGAACTTTCACCCTTCTGCCAGGATACTTGGTTTTCCCGCGAGAGAAACACCACTCAGGCTATTGTATCGCCACGGTGAAATATGTGTCAGCTATTATATGTGTACGCGGAACGAACAAGACTGAGAATCGGAAAGGAATTCCTTCTCCCCTGTCTAGCTCATGTTTAGAGCTTCATTGTCTTTGAATTCAGGTTGCTGTACCTTCTTTAGAGCACGTCTCCTTCTCGTCATCGTTCCTATCTTGCTTCATGGGCTTCATTCGAAGAGTTTCTCTGTCGAATTTTGTCTCTTGCGCCGGTGGATTTCTTTGAATTTTTCAATTCGCGAGAGTTACCTTGGTCGACGATGAGAAATTTTGCCCCTTGAGTTTTATTTGAGTAATTTTTCAGTGAAATTTCATCTCCTGCTCTGGTGAATTTCTTCGAATTTTTGAATATCTTGGTCGATAGTGAGAAATTTTGCTTCTTGGGCTTTATTTTGGAAATTTCTCAGTCGAATTTAATTTTTTGCTCTATCGGATTTCTTCGAATTCGCGAGAGTTATCTTGGTCGACGGTGAGAAATTTTGCCTCTTGAGCTTTATTTCAGAAATTTCTCAGTGAAGTTTCATCTCTGGCTCTATTCAATGCGAAGCGCTTTATTTTGGAAATTTCTCAGTCGAATTTAATTTTTTGCTCTATTGGATTTCTGCGAATTTAAGAATTCGCGAGCGTTACCTTATTCGAAACGAGAACTACGAATTTGTTGAATTTCTTCTTCCAATTTCCGTCGCAAATTCGATCATTTAACGGCGAGTCGAACGTCAAGCTGATTGAAGATGTTGCAACGGGATACACAGGTAGATATTAAGGGGTAGGTTTGGCTCATCGAAAGGCATAACTGGCGCGGCCTCAAAGGCCTCCTCAGGTTTAGTCGATCGAGAACACGGTAGCATACGTTCGAGGGTTTCCAGTTGCAGCTTATCGAAATACATAGGACTGCATCAAGGATTTCCAGCGTTAGATTATTGAAACACGTAGCGCTATGTTAAGGGCTCTCAATTTCAGCTTATTGAGGAACGCGCCGCTACCGTCAAAGGTTCTGCCTCTAATCTGCTCAAAGATGCAATACCTTGCTATTCTCAACCTGCTCTATTATACTCCTGTTCACCGTTAATATCCTTGTTTCGTAATCACCTTTTGCAATTTATTCATTTACCGTATTTACTTCGCATTACTCGTTACTTTTTCCAACGATCCACGAAATTCCAGGAAAAATAGCTAAATTTTGGGAATTTTTTTCATAGGTAAATACTAAATGAGAAATTTCGAAATTTTTCAGAGTATACAAACGTAACTCTCGGCTTTTACTGCAATTTTCAAAAAGCAAAAATGTTACGCATGTAATGTTAAGTATTACGGAAGAAGGCAATAGAGTTTGAAGCTGGTCTATTAGCTTTATATGGAAAGATCTAATTTTTACTCGAAATGTACCAATAATATTAGGTCGTTCCATAAGTTCCTTCCGAAAGCGACACACATTTTAATGAAAATCCAAGGAAATACTATAGCGACGACATAATGGTCCCACCAAAAAAAAAAAAAAAATAAAATAAAATAGAAACAAATTGTGGAATGAGAAGACGCTTACATTTTCTTCTCCGCTCTCGATCTAAATTCTAAAATTCGACACGAACTTATGGGATGACTCACTATACAAGTCAAGCACTCTTCCTAAATTAATCCAGAAACGGAGTCGAATTCCTCTCCCAAAAAACTTGCAATAAAAACCGATAACTGGCCACGTATGACATAGAAACTCAGATCGTCGGATCTTCTCCCCAAACCTTCTACTTCACTCTTCGACTTCTCCGTGAACACCTTCGTAATATACATACAATACTATTGGAAATGGGTTATTGAAATGAAATAGTCTTTGTAAACTGTTAATATACTTTTTATTATCGGACTCAGAGGAAACGTCTTTACTGTTTGAAATGTTCTAACGGACTGTTCCTGAGCACCCGAAAAGAGAGTCGAGGTTCGCTTATACCTAGGAACTGTTTACTTTATGGTATCGCAGTGTGCAGTGCTTGACTCGAAGACGAACACCGGACACATCTGGTAGAAGCTTAGTGCCCTTGCCTAAAAGAACGCGGAGACATTTTTGTCCTCGCTTGATTATTTCTACAGGGTGTTGTTAGAAATAATCCAACAAATACAAATTATAGTTAAGGTATAAAAATTGTGGCCGACAAGTATCTGACAGAATAATGCAAAAACACGCAGCTGTTGTAATAACGATAATATCATCGTTATCGTTAAATGCAACAATTAATATATTTCAGGTAAGACTGGGTAAAACGTGGAGGTACATTGTTATAAATCACGTGACGTTACGCCAGAGCGTAATCTGGTATCGGGCAGTCTACAGTTTCCAATCATAGGCTCAAAGCCGACTTTAATAACGGCTTTTCGTGCACGGTAATCTTGATGCTGGCCCCGTATAAGGGACTCGGCCAACTTAATAACTAACCCTCACTTTTTTTCCCCTATTTTGCATAGCCGGCGCGCTCGTGCGTCTCTCCGCAAATATTCGCCATCGCGGTGCGGTCGCCTCTTGTACGAAGGCCCGCGAGGCACGTACCGCTCGTATAACTCGTCGAGATCAAATTTTTCCCGTGGAAAACCAGGTCCGGCACAAAGCGTTCTCGCTGCGTTCAGTTTCCGTAGAATATTCCAATTGCTCTTCATTTCAAGTTTACTCCGCGCACTTTTATCGCTCTTTTGTCAGAAAGACGGTTCTCTGGGAGAAGAATCGACAGGTTCGCGTGTTTCGTCGATTTCAAAGAGTTGACCATCTTCGAGGTTTGGAGAAACTTTGTTTTTTGGGGGTTTTGGTTGAGGCGACAGTTTGCGAGGATCTAATTTAATTTTTTAATTTTTATTCCAA